GAAATATATCATCACGACTTTGTGCATGCGAGTCGTACATATCATCTAGACTGTCTGCTATTCCTGCAACATGGGTGTTATTATGTGCTTCGTTCTTGAAGCATCACAACAGGTCAAGACTGGTGTATGGAACCGAGGATGTCAGGCTTTCATGACACAATTCTGGGAAGGTGGGGTGGGGGGGACGGGGGGCTGCCATGCCCAGATCTGATGGCGGTGGCAGTGCGATTGACTACCAGTACCTCGTAACGAGGTACACGATTACCCAAAGTTAGGCGGGTGCATTGCTTTTATAGGTAGTGCTTTTTCTCGGCGGCGGCGGCGGCGGTTAATTGGCACCCCTGGGTAAGGCTGGGCGCTGCAAGCACTCGGTTCAGTGCCTATTGTAGGGAGCTCGAGGAAGGTGTTGCCCTCTCCCCAATGCTCGAGACTGCCTATCTAAGCACACGTGTAGGTAAAAGTAGGTACTTGTTTGGGGGCATGCGCCAGGCACCTACCTGTCCAGCGCAGGATTATGTAGGCGATATGGTAGGTGACCAACACCGTCCCTCAGCTGCCTTGGTTGCGTGACCACCGACCGACGTATCGAAAAGATAATTTCACATCTTTGAGGTTCCAACTCATATGCTTTGTCCCATCTCCCACCTCCATCGGATGCTAAAAGCCGGAATTTCAAAGCCTAGTCAAACGTCCGCCTTTCCCCGTCATTGGCGTCCCTCGCCCATGGCCTTCTACTACCACCACCACTATCACCATCAACAATGCCATTATTAGGCCTTCAACCCGCTAACCACCCATGGCCGCAGGTCTGCACCCTCCATCGGACTGGCTTCTCCTCAGCAGCCACTGACATCTTCACTTTCAGCACAGACTGTGCCACCTGCTCTCGCCCACACACACATGTTAGCCACGTCAAACAGGGCAAGGCCCGCGCCGAATCTGCACTTTCGTCACGATCAGGTTGCCAACATGTTAGATTCCATTCACGAGCCTGAGGCCTCGTCCGCCCGAAGACTCGGTCGATCCAACCCCAAGCTCGATCAGCAGGCGTCCTAGCTCTACTCGTATCTCAGTCCAACAGCTCGGCCGCGGACAGCATATCCAATGCCCCGGCCACTCCCAGGAACCAGACCTCATAGCAGTCCAACTGGCTGTCTACGGAGTACCTCGTCCCTCGTACCTCATACTTGTGGTCGTCCACTCCAGATAAACCAGCATAGCATCCACAAGCTCGCAACAGATGTGCCAATCCGGTATGTCGCACCGAGTACCACGAATGCAATCAGGACTCATGAGCGAGTCCAGTACACGACTGACTCCGCTCGTCGTCTGCGACCGATAGTCTGGCCCCTCACCACCCTTCGCTTCCTCGGAGAAGGTGGCCAGAACAACGAGGTCCAGATTCCTTTTCACCACTTGAGTCCCCTTTCCCCTCGCCAACGGCTTGGTGGTCCAAATTTTGCAGACCTCGTCGATATCAATGTCTCGAAATCGGTTTCGTGTAAAGCTAGACCGACAAGATGAGCCCGGTCCAAGCGTCAAGGCCCCATCCGACCACACTGACGTTCCCCCTCCAACGTTCGCATCTCAACTTCGAACATTTACTCCCAAAGGTCAGGCTGATTGGATCCTCCGAAAGCAGAAAGCGAGAGCTCCACATCCCCGTCGCGGTACGCTTGCCACATCGGTTGTCGCCAAACAGGGGAAGTCGAGGAAAGAGAAGCGTTCGAGCTTGACATCTTCTAGCGAGAAGGGTGTCAAAGAGGAGGAATCCACGGCACACAGACGTCGCAAGAATCGTCAGATGATGAACACTGCAAGCCTCAGAGCCGAGTCGACCAAGATCATCCCTCGAATGGTGAAGGCTGAGAGTCGTCAACCATGGACATCAACGGGGGCGGATGCCATTCTGAAGGATCTTCGCCCACACCCTCACTCACTCACTATTGAGGAACAGAACTTCGTCATCAAGTGGTTACAATTCCAGGGCGTTGCGTCGTGGAGTAGCAATACTACTGGAGCTTTCTGTCCTTGTCGGGATATTGCGTGGCGAGGTATTCAGATGTATCCCGCCGGCGGCCTGCCATGGACTCTGATAATCTGCGACATGTTCTTGGCCCTGTCTCGACGACAGCCGTTGCCACAAAGGATGCATCGGCGGAAAGCCATGGCGTACAAATATATCGCGAACTTGTTGGCAGACCCCGAGACGCAGGCCTCGGACGAAGCCTTGCTCTGTGTTTGTTTAGCAATGTCAGCCGACGCCCGCTCATTGAGTCCTGAGATCAATAGAGTCCATCTTAAAGGTTTGGCACAGATGATCTCACAACGTGGAGTGGACTCTCTGTTCTCAGCCGTGTGCTTCATGTTCCACCCCATGTTTTCCTTGGCTTATTTTGCGATGGCCGAGCTTGAAGCTACCAGCTTCTTGGATGTGCAAGGTGCCAGCGACAGGTTCCTCGGGACATTAAACTCGATGCAAAACGACGGCCGGAGGTCACAGTCTGACACTATCCAATACCGTAGTGACAACAGTGTCTCCAGAGTTGGAAGAGTGGGAGCAACCACAACCAATCGGTCCCGAACCCCGGTATCAAGCAGCCTCTGGTCGGCTGCAATGGGAAAGTCGACAATACATCACGCTGTGGAGGGCGCACTGGCGAATTTGCAAAGGACAACCCTGTCTGTCCAGCAGGACCTTTCTTTGTTCCTCAATCTGTATCTGCTGAACCTCATATTGTGGGATTTGCTCGAGCGGCCTGATGGTGCTGTATTGTTTCTGCAGAGACTCTCCATCCACGCAGAGAACGCGCGCGTGAGGCTCGAAATCACCGTGTGGCTGCTTGCAAAGTCATGGGTCGATGCGGACGAAGTCTCCAAGAGGAGTGACAATGGGGCCAAGAAGGAGGTGTTCTTGACCGAAGCAGTCATTGATGCTCTGAAGATTTTCAGTCGGATCACTGACCAGTCGAAGGAGAAATTGATCCACGTATTATCGTCCTGGCTATTTGGTTGCGAGGGGAAAAGAGGCGAGGACGAGGCTGAACAGGAGAGCATAGAACCAGCCGCCAGCAAGAATGGAAAGTCCTCCTCCCCTCCTACCATCAAGAGCATGTCTTCCCATATCGCTGAAGGTCCCGCTGGCACTTCAGAACTATCGGCATCGTCGCAGGGAAAGGCTGCTAGCCATGGAAGTCCGAAGAAGGATATGGATCCCGCGCTCGGCTCCCCACCGGAGCCACAACAGGCACAGAGTGCGGGGGCCACGTCCAAGGCGTTCGAATACCTCAGCAGTCCAGACTTTCAGGTGATGATGGACGAGGCATACAGTGACTGGTATGAGAAGAATATCAGCAAACGCCCAATGCCGCCTATACCCTTGATATCTACACCGCCGCCGCAGCAGCACCAGCGCCAGTCAGGGAACAATACGGCCTAGTTAAAGGCCCTGGATTGATCTGTTCAAGTAGTGCATTCCCGCTTTGGAACTTGGTTATCCTTGCATCATCACCATCGTCTTGGACATTAGCTTGTCCTTGGAAAAGCCATGGGTGATCTGGGGTGATCTGGGCCTGGCTGGGCAGGAATTGCGTTGAATCGAGTCGAGTCGAGCCGGAGGAGTCTCACAGATATCCGTCTGTCTTTATTGGGTGTTCGCTGGGTTATTTTTATTCCCAACCCCCCCGTCGATCCCTATTCTCATTATGTGCCCAGTAGCGGGGCCATGTCAGAGGAAGCAAGGCGTTTTTCCTGACCAAAGCTTCCTGGTCGTTGGCTCTCGTGTCAGTGTCAGTGTCAGTGTCAGGCCACGGAGCAAAAGGCAAAAGAAATGCTAATAAATCAGCTAGGGTGCAGTGGGTGCTAGGTAGTAAGTAACCAGGGATCCTCCGGAGTCCAGATTTGGGTGGGTTTGGAGAAGATGCAAAATTACCCGAATAGGAAAGTTTGGATATGAAGGATGTCAATGTGATGTGATGTGTGATGGGATGTGGTGGATCCGCTGCCCCCTGCACAGTTGTGCACGGTCTGTTGGTCATACCTACGAGTAGTGAGCATGTCAGTATACGAGGTCCTGGGACTTGTACCTGCACGGAGTCCCATGGATGTTGATTCGTTTGTTTACTCGAATCGAGGACAAGTACTCGGTACATGCATGAAGTATTTAGATAGACCTCCTGTCCCTGATGCGCAAGAGAAAATGTTCTACGTGGCGTGGAGGACGAGGTACGTATCTCGTCCGGAGGTAAGGACTTACCTACCTACTACCTACTACCTACTACCTATGTAGGTACCCTGCAACACCACAGACAGGACCTTTTTAGTCGATGCCCGCCCTCTCCAGAAGCCTACTTCCAGTACATACCTACTGTAAGTTGCTCCTCCACAGTACCGAGTACTTGGCACTCACGTTCTTGTATCACTTTTTTGCCGGATGACAAACAAAAAAACAAACACGGTTGCTTTCAGCTTGAGCGGTCCTGTATGGGCCATGTAATCTGCGAGCAGGTGCGTCGATGAGTAAAGGAGTAACCCAACTGGCAGTCCTGGGTTATGACAGCACCACAGCACCACAGCATCACTATAACAAATGCTAAAAGCCGTGCTATGCCAGTGACGTCCCCCTGCTGCACATGAGGGCATAGGAAGATCTCGTATGCAAGTCCTCAAGCATCTACCCGTGCTCATGAAGCTGTGGTAGAGGCTGGAAGATTGTGTCGCGCATTTATTGAGGAATCTGAGCACTGTCATCGTCTGCGACAACCTAAAGCACAAATGGAATTGATTGAGGACTGTTATGTATCTAATTACAATGAGACACTTTCCCTCTTTGACTGGCAACTGCAAAGACTTGCAATCCACCTTTTTCGTGTCTCAACTCGAGCGGTGTCGTCCAGTTTTGACCAAGCCAGAACATTGTACAAGCATTTCAAACTTCTTCACCACACCTCTTGCAAAATGTCAGCTATCTGGCTGTATACCGAACTGTAGAAAGAATTTACCTATGAGAAATTCTTGGTAAAGTTGACAATCACCTCCTTCAATTGTTGCTCGAGATCCTTGCTCAATTGACCCTCCTTGTCGATCTTAGCAAGAATTTCGGGGTGGTTGCTCTTCAAGTGTGCGAGGAAGTCAGCTTCCCATTGCAAGATCTTGCCGACGGGGACAGAGTCCAGGTGACCGTTGACACCAGCATAGATGAGGGGAACCATTTCGTTGACAGCCATGGGGCTATATTGCTTCTGCTTCAAGAGCTCCGTCAGACGTTCACCACGGCTCAGAGTTTGCTTGGTTGCGGCATCAAGATCGGAACCGAATTGCGCGAATGCAGCCACTTCTCGGTATTGGGCCAAGAAGAGTTTCAAGGAACCGGCAACTTGCTTCATGGCCTTCAGCTGCGCAGCAGAGCCCACACGTGACACAGACAGACCGACGTTGATCGCAGGTCGGACACCCTTGTAGAACAGCTCGGCCTCCAAGAAAATCTGGCCATCGGTGATCGAAATAACGTTGGTAGGAATGTAGGCAGACACATCACCACCCTGGGTCTCAATGACGGGGAGAGCAGTCAGAGAGCCACCACCGTGCTTGTCGTTCATCTTGGCAGCTCGTTCCAGAAGTCGGGAGTGGAGGTAGAACACATCACCAGGATAGGCCTCACGCCCAGGAGGTCGGCGGAGCAGCAGAGACATTTGACGATACGCAACGGCCTGTTTGCTGGTCAGCTTATCATATTCATGTCGCTGACAAAGTGGCTCCAACACCAAAAGTGAAAGAAAAGGGATCTTTACCTGCTTGCTGAGATCGTCTAGGATCAAGAGAGCATGCATTCCGTTGTCCCTAAAGTATTCTCCGATTGCAGTCTGGGGTGATGGAGTTAGTAGAAGTCCATAAAATCGACATAAGAACTTACGCCAGTGAAAGGAGCAATGTATTGCAGAGGGGCTGCCTCGGAGGCGGTGGCAGCGACAACAATAGAGTACTTCATGGCGTCGTTTTCTTCGAGGGTCTTGACAAGTTGAGCAACGGTAGATCGTTTTTGACCAACAGCGACGTAAACGCAGTAAAGTTTCTTGGTCTCGTCATTGCCGTTGTTCCATCTCTTCTGGTTCAACATGGCGTCGAGAGCAACGGCAGTTTTTCCGGTTTGACGATCGCCAATAATCAATTCACGCTGACCACGTCCAATAGGCACCATTGCGTCGATAGATTTGAGACCGGTCTGGACGGGCTGGTTGACAGATCGTCGAGGAAGAATACCAGGAGCCTTCAATTGAGCACGACGTCTCTCAGCGGCTTGGATGGGGCCTTTGCCATCGATTGGCTGGCCCAGAGCGTCGACAACACGGCCAAGCAAAGCCGGACCGACAGGGACATCGACCTGGAAGCTGTTAGCTGATCAAGTTTCACCCAGCTATTTCACCTCTCCTCACAATCTGGCCAGTTCGCTTGACGGTTTCTCCTTCTTTGACAAGACGATCCGAACCGAAAAGCACGACACCGACTTGACCGGCTTCCAAGTTCATGCACATTCCCTTGACACCAGAGGCAAACTCGACCAACTCCTCGGCCTGGACATTGCTCATGCCATGGACACGGGCAATACCGTCACCGACGGACAGGACGCGGCCGGTCTCGGCGAGGCCAGCTTCCTCTTGCACACCACGGATTCTTTGCTCGAGGATGGAGGAAACTTCGGTGGGAGATGCTTTGGCATCAGCAGCGTATGATCGGACTTGTTTTGAGGCAGCATTGAGAGGTGCAGGGGTGACGACACGGGACTGCGAAGATTTTCATTAGCTCGGAATCCAACCACGAGGCGTTGATAGAGCTTCAGTTGTATATTTTGAGCTCAACGTCTGCCTCGGAGGTCTCATTGGCACTGATTTTGGTGATTCTGAAGCTTTTACTGCTGGTCGAAGGGGATTTCAAGCTTACTGCAGCTATTCTGCCCGATGCAGATAGGGCACCAGCAATGCGGCCAGACTGGCGCAAGACGCTCCTCGACATCATCTTGCCGACCCGTGAAGCTGATATGAGGAACTTCCTAGGAGGAAAAGGTGTATTGAGATAGGTCGGAGGGAGTGGAGAGGAGAATTTTGATGTGAAGTCGAGGACACCAGCTAGTAGTTTGTAAGGGGAGCTTCAATCGAAATAATCCCGGGTGTCGCAGGAGGACAGACCCGACTTGGTGAGGCACCTTTGCCGAGGAGGCCATCTTGGCGATTATCTTCACGTGACTAGCCCGTTTCATACGAGTACGACGACTCCAACGCCACAAGACGCCGCCTCCTCAGGCTTAGGGCCAGCTGCGGACGAACTGAAGATTCAGGAGACCAGGAGGTTCAGGCCGCGTTTCCTTCAACTGTGCATTCACGTGGAAACTACTTTTTGGACTCGGACATGATGGAAAATCCACTATGTGTCTCTCTGCGACAATAGTCTCGATCAAAAACCGCCATGTCTTCTCCGATCTCCCAGAAACTTTCCCATCCTCCCACCTCCAAAGCCAACGCGGCCTCTCCCAAAGTGACCTCGGAGGATGTCGAACTGGGTCCCGTCCAAAATGGCCAGGCGGTGCCCAGTATACCTTTGGAAGAGGATATCATGCAATGCGCCCGAATAGGTGCCCTCGAACACATCCAGAAAATGGTGGAATCTGGCAAACACGACGCCAACTATAAGGATGATGAGGGAATCACTCCGCTGCATTGGGCTGCTATTAACAATCAATATGCTGTATGCAAATACCTCATCGAGCAGGGTGCCGATGTGAACGCAAAAGGAGGAGAATCCAATGCCACCGCCATTATGTGGGCCTCGCAGAGGTGTCACTTTTATATCGTCAACCTTCTGTTGCAAAACGGTGCTGATCCTCTTCTGACCGACGGTCAGGGTTACAACATTCTCCACCTGGCAACAATTGATGGAAATGCGCTGCTATTGATTCTTCTTCTGCAACAAAATATCCCCGTCGATATTCCCGATCCTCAAGGCCATACTTCTCTGATGTGGGCAGGATATAAAGGCTGGCCAGCCTGCGTGGATCTTCTCCTCAAATGGGGAGCCAACGTCAATGCTACAGACGACAATGGATATACACCCTTACATTGGGCTTTGGTAAAAGGCTCCAAAGCCTGCTTGGACAAACTCATCGAGTACGGTGCGGACAGATTCGCAAAGACCAACGAAGGCAAGACGCCACTTATCTGTGCCGAGGAAATGAACACGAAACGAGTATACCAACGCTCATTATCTGACCATGGATATGACCTTTCTGGCAACGTCAAGACGCTCCCACTGAAACTCCACACCGTGATCAGAGATCGCTCGAAAATGTCGAAATTTTTCTTCTTGTACCCTTTTTTGATCATCATGGTCGGCCTGTACATTATCAGTCACCTCAGCGTCTACATTGGAGTTCCGTTGTTTTTGGTTGTTTGCCTGGGAATGCAGTATGCTGCGCAACGAATTGCAATGATCGGACCTCTAGAATTTCGAGCCATCCACAAAACACCCTATCTGGCTGGCATATTCGCGGGAACGCTCTTTTGGGTGGGAGTCAGTTACGTTATGTCGGTACTCCCGGTTACATTCTCAACGAATCCGCTCACATCCATCTGCTTCGTCATCTTATACGCCGCTACAGCGTACTTCTACTTCCTCTCAATGATTGAAGATCCTGGGTGGATACCAAAGCTATCTTCACGAAATCAACAACGTGCGGCGATTGACGAGCTATTTTCCCTGTGGAAATTTGACGAAGACAACTTCTGCGTGCAGTGTATGATCCGAAAACCCCTGCGCTCAAAACACTGTCGCCGGTGTAACCGATGCGTTGCAAAACAAGACCATCACTGTCCGTGGATTGACAATTGCGTGGGGAACAACAACATCCGTCATTTTTACATTTACATCCTCTGCATGGCTATTGGGATCATCCTCTACATCCGCCTCGTCCTCTCTTACCTTACCCTCCTCCCACCACCTGCCGACGACGACCTCGCTAAATGCCATGTTCTCTCTCCTTCGTTATGTACCTTCGTCCTGCGGGACCCCTGGACCGTGGCACTCACATTCTGGACTTGTCTCCAGCTTGTTTGGGTAGTCATGCTGATCGTGGTTCAAACGATCCAGATCTCGAAGAATCAAACCACGTATGAAAATATGAAGCGTCACGACAAAGTACACGACCACCATCGACCCATACTCCCGACTCACAATCACCCCATCACCCAAGGCGCATCTGCAGCCGCAACTTCTCTGAACGACACGGCTGCCGCATCGTCCCGCCTTCAACCGGCTCCTCGCCGACCCGACGGCTGTTTCACACGGTGGACAAAGATCCTCGGCCTTGATGCGTTCATGGTGACTGCGAGCGACGCATCTCACGGCCATTTGCAATCTCGCAACTCCAACCCCTTCAGCCGCGGCATCGTGGGCAACTGTCAAGACTTCTGGTGTGATCCGGCCCCCGTGTTCGGCAAGAGGAAGAACGGAGTTGGCTATCTGGGCGGAGAGGTGGTTGACTATGCACACATGTACGAGGTGCCCTTGAAGCTGAGGACCAGAAGGGGCGGGGGCATGCGATATGAAAGTGTTGCCGGAGAGGATGCAGACGAGATATGATTCCTGCCTGCTACGGTAGAGCAGGTCGAGAACTTACTTACTTGGTCCTACCAGCCTCATTTTCTTCTCGGGGCAGGCGATCGCCGACACCTTGACGACACTAGCCCCGAGACAGGCATTGCGGACACCGACCTCTCTTGGGGGATACATGTCCAACTCTGCTTTGCCTTGGAAGAGCCAGTTGCAGTTTGGATGTTTCTATGTAGATGTAGATTACACACAAATGCCCCGAAACGGATTTACTCATGTGCCTTCTTCCCACCATTCTGGATGGGTTCTTTTTATTTTTGCCTTTCAAGTATTGCACTCTGCTTTTTCAATGCTTTTTGAGACCAGATACACCATAGACACCGTCCCAGTCTAGTTCGTTAATGGTCGTAATGCAATGTTGGTGCGACATGGTATGAAATGCAGCGCTAGCCCGATTGTGGTAGATTGCACGTTGGAAAGACACACGTCTTTCCAACGTGCGGTATATGAGTGCATTGGTTGTAGGATGGAGTTTTGAGTGTATCTCATAAATTTCACACCCTCCTTCTTCGTCTTGTAACCCGTACGGGCAGACCGCCTTCCATGGGGAGGGTCAAGGAGTTGGCGCTGCGTCGCTCGCCCGAGGACGAGTCCATGTTCAAGCCGTCGTTGACCTCCTCAAATTCCCACTCGCGCAGCATCCGCATCAGCGTCCACGCACCCATCAGTTCGGCCATCTTCTTGCCCAGGCAGCTGCGTGGGCCGCCATTGAAGACGGGGAACTCGCCGACCGAGTGTTTGGAGCCGGTGAACCTGAGGCTCGGCTTGTGGGCTGCGGTATTGACATGGGTGTCAGAATCGGTTTCGGAATCCACGTGTGAAGCAGGACTGGGCACCTCTAACCAGCGCTCTGGGCGGAATGACTGGGCATCCTCGCCGAAGGTTGAAAAAGAGCGGTTGAGCGCCCAGATGCACCATACCACAACGGCCCCTGCGGGTAAGGAGGTACCATCGGGGAGTGTGACGGGTTGGGTTGTTTGCTTTATCTCAAAGGGGACGGGAGGGTACAGGCGGAGGGATTCGTAGAAGACCGCCATAGTATAGGGGAGATTGGTAGGTTGGAGGTCAGACACATTGATGTTAACATCTTCTTCGTCGCTATCAGAATTCGTCATAGCAGAACTGCTGAAAGATTGCTTATCCGAGGGCTTGACGTCGAATTTCAGGTCAATTTCTTCTCTCACCCGTTTTAGTGCCTCAGGGTGCCTCAGTAATGCGTAGAACGTCCATGTCAGGCTCTGAGCCGTGGTATCTCGACCGGCAGACAGGAAATTTAGGGCGGCATCGGCGACAATTTTCGGATTTCCCAATGCTTCTATCAGTGAATCAATCAACGTTCCAAATCCCAACCCGGAACCTTCGTTGTTTTCGGGTTGTTGACGCTGTTGCATGAGCTCAGTCTCCTCCTCATCGGTGTTGGTGATGAGACTCTCAAACGCTTCTTGAGCACGGCGTTTCCGCGCTTCGGACACAATTTGACGTCCAAAGCGTTTTACTTCGCGAAGAGATGCGCGGAAGGAAGAACCCGTGAAGAACTCGGTGATACTGTAGAGAGGGTTTTGAAAGCGGAGGCCAATTTGGGAGGAGGCGTGGTCGAAAGCTTTGCTGAATGGAGAGGTGGCATCGATTTCCATCTGAGTTTCGGGTACCGTTTGTTAGAATCAGCTACCATGTCTCGTTCACAGTCACCCACGACAGGCTGACAGTTCTTACATCGTACGCCATGTGTCCCACCACTGTGGTTGTGAGATCATGGAAAATCTTCTGCAGATCGACCACAGATCGACCCTCGGCTGCTTGAGAAAGGCTGGCCCTTGTGGACTCGTGATAAATCTCTGGAAGGACCTCTTCGATCATGATGTCTAGATTTGTACCACTGAAAAACTTCAACCCGGCTTTCCGTTGGGCGCGCCACAACTCGCCCGATGCATTGATGATGCCGTAGCCTTACCCGTTTCAAGTCAGCCATGGCTCGGTCCATATTCAGTGCGCAGTGACCTACCAAAGAGATCCCAAGATCGGTCTCGAAAGAACTCGCCCTTGGTGATGGCTGCCTCATTTTTGAGTACATACTCCAGAACTTCAGGGCTGTTGATTACGACGCCAGGAGGTAGCGAAGGAACGGAAATCTCGAATGTCTCCCGGCCAAACTTCTGCTGGCATTTCACGAACCAGTCGAAGAGAACATGGCGGGGTTTGAGGAACTGGATGGCGTTGCCGAGGAGCGGCAAGGAGTCTGGCGCATGTCTATGTGATATTGGTTAGCAGACATCATTGATGCTACTGAGTGGAAAACTTGCCTCAAGACTTGACCATGGCGATGTATTCTGGTCTTTCGCGCCCAAGCATAGTACAAGGTGAAGCCCAGCAAGAGTGCGATGGAGGTGGTGAGCCAGATCATCGCTGATTTGTCGGCAGCAAATCCCATCCGGGGATGGCAGATGAACGGCCGTAAAGTAACGATCGTTTTACCTACCACTCAAGCCTCTAGGTCATTCTTATGGCCAGTGCTGAGGTGGCGAGCCTAGTGAGGCTGTCGATGTGGGCCATGACGCGGAAGATATGGCTGAGATGGAGGGGGGTTCGATGGCGATGGTGGCAGTAGTGATGATGGTAGTGGTGGTGGTAATGATAATAGCTGATGTGCATGAAGGACGCAGGCTGCTCAAGCGGGAGCCACTCGGAAGTGCAATGTTCCTGACTCTGACCCTCGTAACCCTCGCACCCTCGCCCATGACTATTTTCTGCAACACGCACATTGGCACATTTGGCACCTCAGATCCTGATTAGATCGCCCCAGTCGCATCATGCGGTTACCATCTCCTCGGCCCTTGATTCGCGGGTTCCTTCCATGGACGACTCCCGACGCACACGAGCACCGACCCTGAGATACTAGTACGAGGCATTCTGGGGGCACTTGTCCAACTTCTTACATGGCACTTCTGTGAGCATTTACCGCTCACATACTTGTAGGTCAAATCTACACACACCCTCTCCCCCACCAGTATTTACCAAAGTCACATAATCGACGGCAGAGACTCGTGCTCTCTCTTTCTCCACTGTCGCTCATTTCGCATCTCTTGGTCAACTCTCTCTAGAGTCTCTTGTCTCAGCTGTGTTTCATCCATGCAATAATATCCCAACGTCATCACTCGCCAAAAATTGTTGGGGCTCGTATTCTTTGCGACGAAACCACCACCACCGCCGCCATGTCGCCCTCAGCAATCCACACAAAGGTTACCCCGCCATACCAAAGGCCCAATCTCTATATCCATGGCATTGGGGTTGAATACCCTCCTTATGAAATCAAGCCAGAACATCTAGCCACTCTTGCACGACGCTTTTATCCCAGCACCCCAGCGTAAGCCTCCGTCTCTAGATTCTCGAGGGTTGGGCCTCATTGACGCAATTCGTTTAGACTCGAAAAGGTGCTGAAGATCAATGAGTATACCGGGATTGACTCTCGTTCTGCTATTGGCAATATCGATCATCCCATAGCGAATGCGCCTGAACCCCCAACAATAGCAGAGTTGTGCGATCTCTTCCTCGACTATGGTGTGAAGCTGTCAATAGAAGCTTGTCGCAAGGCCCTCAAGCAATGGGGAGGGGATCTTTCTGAAATCACCCACGTAGTTGCGACCACCTGCACCAACTCGGCGAATCCAGGCTATGACCATTATGTCATCAAGGGACTCGGGCTCAATCCAAGCATAGAAAAGGTCCTTTTGCACGGAGTGGGTTGCTCTGGCGGTCTCGGAGCGTTACGAACGGCCGCCAATATCGCGCTTGGTTCCAGCTTCCGACGAAAGCCTGCGCGCATCCTGGTTTTCGCGTGCGAGATCTCAAGCACCCTGGTTAGATCTGAGCTGGACTCAATCCACAAGAACCAGGAGGTCAGAATAGGCGTCACCTTGTTCAGTGATTGTGCCTCAGCTGTGGTCCTCGGTAATGGTTTCAGTGATCGCTATGACGAGGAACCCATCCTGGAGCTCTTAGGCTGGGACCACAAGATTATTGAAGACACCGAAAAGGATTTAGGCTTCGACGTTGACCCTGTTGGTAAGCAAAAGAAGACTCTATCTCCAAGAATGCAGCTGCTGACTCTGGTACTAGGGTGGAAGGTGGTCTTGACACAACGAGTTCCCAAATTAGCCTCAGCTGCGGTTCCTGGCATGTTTGAGGACTTGGTAGGGTCAATACCAGAGCTCGTCGATCTGGGGAAATTCAAGGCTTCTGATTATGACTGGGCGCTTCATCCTGGTGGCTCCACAATCATCACTGGGGTGGAACGAACAATGAATCTGAAACCCGAGCTTCTTCGTGCAAGCTATGAGGTTTACATTACTCACGGCAATAGTTCCAGCGCCACCATCTTCAGCGTCATGAATCGGCTGCTGGAGGGTGAAACGACAGACCATATCGTGGCTTGTGCCTTTGGCCCGGGAATCGCTGTCGAGATGATGATGCTCAAAAGAAGCAATCAAGGATCAGACCCAGGATCCGACAGCCCAACGGAGACTTTGGTTGCCGAGGACGTGGACTGAGGGTGCGGGATTGAACGCGTGGGTGCGGTTAGAAGCTCTAAGTTTGATTTTCCTTGTATAGGGCGCACCAGGCGTCACGGAGTAGAGCAACAAAGCAGATGACATGTACAACCAGGTAGAGAAACGCCTCGGAGATGATGATTGGCTTTTGCAACTGTGCCTGTGTGACCAACCTGTTTACAGACCGGATCGAAGGGGCAACATGGTAGATTGCGAGCGCTCCGGCGACTTTGCCAGAGGTATCGTCTAGTGGCTTGTTGACGAATACCATCGCCACCAGGACAGAGGACAATATAAGGGCGGCGTATTGCCGTATAACAGCATGTGCATGAGGCGTGTGCACTCCCAGTTGGCGGGAAGGGAAGAGGTGGAACGAGAGGCATGCAGGGATTTCGATGACCACGTGGACGAGGAATCCGAGATGCGACGGTGGCGATGGCAACATTCTGATGAACTAGGAGAGGCTGGAGATGGTGGATGGAAGTGATGACCAGGACCGAATGAGGTACTTGGGAGGCAGAAGGGAGTATTTGACAGGATGATAGAAAGCAGATAAGTTTACGATGGCCAGATGCGTTCCGTACCAAGTTTAGCAATGATCCACCGCCACTGGCGTTGAAAGGTTATTGAAGCTGATCGCTGTTTCGCCCAGTTCCCGTGCGACACAAGATACGTGGATACACAGAATACGAGGCACACGCGTATGTACCTCGTACATGACGTCGTTCGAGGCTGAAACTCACTAACTGCAACTGCGAAATATTATTATGATTATTACGACTCAACGCCTCCCGCCCCCCACAAGGTCGAAGCGCACCTGAAATGTACGGGCACATTGGACTTATATTCACCAGGCTGGCAGTGTTATGGACTGTCAGAATAACCCCTTGAGAGGTGTGCCGCATCTCAATGACTCCCACTAGCCAGACTGCCTGGCTTCGCAGGAGGCATTTCTTCGAAGTCAACGACCAGCCATGGTAATGTCGATTTTGCTATTCTCATTGATGGAGACAGGTGCTAAAAGACACTGCAGGTTCCCACAAACCCTCAGGGAAAAGGTGCAAGACTATTTGACCCTTGGTTGGATCAATAGACTGCCCATCATCCAGTCCACCTCCCCGGCTGAACTCGTCTCTCGCGTGCTCTCCAGCGTCCTTGGTCCTCGACTTGCACAGTATGTCTACGTCGACTTCGCGTCCGGTGCGGGTGGTCCGACACCATACATCGAGAACCATCTGAACAGCGAGCTTCGTGCCACAAAAAAGGAAGAGGTCAAATTTGTCCTCACCGACATCAGCCCCCACGTCAGTGCTTGGGAGGCGGCTGCGAAGAAGAGCAAGAACATCAGTTACATTGCCCAGAGTGTCGATGCCACGAATGCTCCAACCCAGGAAGATCTGCTCAAGGACGTTCCCGACACAAAAGGAAAGAAGGTCATGCGCCTTTTCAGTCTGGCATTCCACCACTTTGACGACGACCTTGCCGCCAAAATTCTCAAGAACACTGTAGAGACGTCGGATGGGTTCTGGTGAGTGGCTCTCTATGTTTGCTCCGGGCCGTACTGAGTACTGTTGTCCAGCATCTTCGAGCTCCAATCTCGCCATCTCAGTTCCTTCATCCTTGTCAGCCTCCTCTGGCCGCTCGCTATGCTGATCGCGCCAATCTATTTCCTTCGCTCGCCGGGGCATTTGTTCTTCACCTACCTCGTTCCCATTGTTCCTTTTATTTGGGTCTGGGATGGCTACATTTCGTGCCTGAGGACAAGAACGCCCGAGGAAGTCGAGGCTCTCCTCCACCGGCATGTAGGGAGCGAAAAGCTGGTAAACTGGAAGTTCAAGAGTGGTCAAGCTTGTCATACCTGGCCTATCGGTTATCTCAATTGGATTATCTGCTACAAGGAAGATTGAGGGTATCGTCACAAGACCTTTTGACAAAGCGGGCGTCACCTGCATTTGGCTGCTGATGTGGCATCTTTTTTCAGCAAAATCATACTCTTCACTAGCAAAGATCAGAATTACGAAATCATGAACCATTCTCAAATTGCTTTATATACACGACATCTGACGCTCATACGTTCAAGCTTCTCGTTCAAGCCCCAGAGCTCCTGTGAGATGAGGAACGTCTACATCGCACTGATGTGTCGGCATACCTCTTCCACCTCGCGCTGAAAGGATGATACTTTTCCAAAAGAGCAAATATCGTCAATTTTTCGAATCTGGTACAGAAGCATTGGAAAGGTTTTTGGGTCCCCAACAAAGGAAAACTATGGCCCCAATAGAAAGGAAACTCGCTTGGTATTTACAATTTGCTTTCACTTCCACCGCCGTGCTTCTCCTTGGTCTCCAGCCACCCAAAGCTCGCGGCGCTGTTTAGGCCGGGGTCAATGATGACATTCAAGATACAGACTTTCTCACGTTCCAGGAAAGCCAGCCTGGTCGCCTCGGCCAATTGGTCTTCGGTGCGCACGAGCCAGCCTCTCCCACCGACCATGTCGGCCAGACACTGATACCGCGTCTGGTACAGGAGGGAGGTGCTCCGCAAACCCTTCGTGCGAGGCGGCGCGTTGGTGGCGATCCTCGTATCGTCCTGCGCGGTCTGCACCTGCATTTCCTTCCAGCTGGCCTCGTCGGGCGCGTCGCCCTTGTATATGCCGCTGTTGTTCATGAGGATGATCAGGACGTCCATCTTGTGCCGGGCCATGGTCTCGATCTCCATGCCGGAAAACCCAAACGCCGAGTCTCCCTCGAGCGCGACAATCTTCTTGCTGCCCCGGCGCGGGATGTTGTGCGCGGCCCACGCGGCGATCGCGTACCCCAGCCCGACGCCCATGGTCGCGTAGGTGCCGGCGTCGAGACGCTGGCGGGGATGTTCGAGGGGGAACGCACTGCGCGAGATGTCCATGGTGTTGGCTCCCTCGGAAACGTACACGATGCCGCCGTCCTGGGGCGGGGAGAGGGCGTGGAGCTGAGCCTTGATGATGTGGTAGGCACGCTCGTACGTCAGTAGAGCATTGGCCTTGGTAGGTGTTGTCGACAGACGATCCCACTTTTGTTCGTTCTTCGCGGCCGCGGCCGAGAGGAGAGAGAAGTATGACGGCTGCGGCGATGACGTTGACGATGACGACGAAGAGGAGCGAAAGGTGTCACTCGGAAACGCCTTCCACTCCCTTCCCAGTTCGTGCCGGAGTTGCTCCACGACGAATCCAATGTCTCCGAAAATGCTGAGCGACGGCTCGCCGAGGCTGTTGGCCCGGCCCAGCTCCTCGGGCGAGATGTCGACCTGGATGATCTTGACGTCTGGGCGGTACTTGGGGGCCTCTCCGAAATGGAGGATCCAGTTCAGCCGGGCGCCCAGGAGGAGGATGACGTCGGCGTGCTTGAGCGCGGCCGAGCGGGCGGACGACGTGTTCAGGGGGTGCGAGTCCGGGACGATACCTTTGCCCATGGGCGTCGGGAGGAAGGGTAAGTGGTGGGTCGAGACGAGGCTGCGAATCGAGTTCTCGGCCCGGGCGTATGCAGCGCCCTTTCCCACGATCACGAGTGGCGCGGCCGCCGATTTGAGGAGGTTCGCTGCCGCGACGACGAGGGCCGGGTCCGCGGCCGGTTTGGGGGGGGACAGGACCGTGATTGGTGGGTGTACGTCTGAGGCCTTTGTCGGAGTGGTCGTAGGCTCCATGATCAGCTCCGTGGGGAGGTCGACAAACGATGGGCCCGGCCGACCGTACCAGGCGGTGCGGTAGGCGTTGCGGATCGCGGCGACGATGATGGCCGGGTCTCGCGCCGTGGGACGGATGGCTCTCTTGGTGTGCGGCGTCAGGAGGGCGATGGCGTCCATTTCTTGGAAACCGCCCTTGGTGGCCAGGCTGGACTCGGAGGAGCCGCCGAGGACGAGCAGGGGGAAAGCATTGGCGGAGGCGTTGCCGATCTGTTATGGGGGGGGTCAAAGAATCCAGTGGTTAGCAAGAGGAGAGAAAAATCATTCGAACTAGAAGAATGGAAAGGCACAGAAAAGACGGCACGACCAAGGATCAAACATATAGGTAGATGAGAGAGAGGGGGAGACAAGTGTCAGAGGAAGAGAGAAGGGGGAGGGGGAGAACTATAGATTCCTGCTCTTCTCTTCCTGCTCTATTCTCCTCTCCTCTCCTCTCCTTTCCTTCACTCCTTACTTTCTCCCTCCCCGCCTCTCTATGCATATGCTCAAAGAGAATAGAGAGAGATGACTCACCCCAGCCATACCATGCAATATCCCCGGCCCGCCTGTCAACAGACACACGGCCGGCTTGCCCGTGAGGTATCCGTACGCGGAGGCGGCGTAGCTGCAGGCCTGCTCGTTGCGGTACCCGACGACGCGGACGCCCAGATCGATGGCCTCCTCGGCGATGTCGGCCACGGGGATGCCGACCAACGTGTGCAGCACCGTGACGCCCAGGTCGTGGAGGGCGCGGGCGATGACTTTGGCGCCGGTGGGTGAGGATGAGTCCATTGTCGCGAGGGAGTGGATTGGAGGGATTGGAGATAACAAGTAGGGCAGGAAGGAGTTGAGTGGGCGGAGTATATAGTCAGTAAGTAATGCAGGGCTGTGGTATAAGTATAAGTATATGTATATACTCAGAGTACGTATATACCCGATGGGTGGAGAGGAAGGGAGGTCCGGGAGCAAGATCACATCTGGCTGGACCCTGAGAACATATCCTAGGTTTCTCAAAAGGTCAAAGAAATATTAGATGGAAGACAGAGAAGACAGAGCAAAAAAGTATCAAGTATCAACTGTCCTGGTTCCTTGCTTTGGATATAGTTGATATACTCGGTACGTTTGCCCGAGTCGTTGAGGAAGCGGAGTAAGTATGTAAGTGTCTATCTATTCAGTAACTAATATAGTACATAAGATCCTTGTACAAGTATGCACGGACGTCAGGACCAGTGCCAGGGTGCCAGGGTCTATCGCAAGAACAATCAGGGGGACCCGAGGTAACGACATGACTACACAACTAGCCATGCAAGTGATCAGGAGATTTCGAGACACTGTAAAAGTATCTCGGCATTGAGTGAGATGAGTCGTCAAGTATTATACCTCTAGATAAACTCTGTCCAAAAATCATGACCTGACACCTTGACCACGACACTTGTGCTCTTGCTGGAAACACTCAACATCCTCCACAGTATGCTTGTTATGGCCATGACAGCCTCGTCGATGCCCCCTCGCAACGCCCGCTGCATTTGTTACGACTTGCCGGACGCGGGGGAACCGAGGTAGATCGATCCCTGGAGAAAGACAGACAGACGAGGTTCTGACTTGCGCCCGCACCCCCCCGACTTCGGAAGAGACTCCCCGCAGTGACTGGCCGACCAACCAACCAACCACTACGCACGCATCAGGTTGTCATTGACTTCCATGCGCTCACTTCCTTTGTTGGGGTAAGGATAAGCTTGATACTAATATTTCAAAAGTACTACTACTGTACCTGCCCATAGGGAGAAAAGAGTTGCCAGAAATGTCATAAGCTTGACCATTTCATTTTGCTGTCAAACAGGGCGAGGGGGATATACAACAAGAGCAACGAGGTGCGACTTTCGTGAGAGATTTTCCATTTCATCCCAGTTCGCTCGCTCGCTCGCTCGCTCGCCGGGCTTTTTTTTTTTTGGAGGATATATCGTCCAAACTCGTGGGACTGCAATGGCCAGCGCCGTGTCCTCCCTGCACGCCGGGTCAGGCAACGAACGCTTCAACGCCGAAGCCGCCTCTTGGGACCGCAACCCGTTTGTCCACGCAGCCAGCAAACACGCGGCCGAGGCCATCATACCCCGGTTCCCGGCGCTGAAGAACCCCCCTGGACCCAACGGCCTGGACGTCCTAGAGATCGGGTGCGGCACGGGCCTGCTCTCGTTCCTGCTGGCGCCGTACGCGAAGCGGCTGGTGGCGGTCGACGCCGCCGAGGGCATGATTGACGTCCTCAAGAAGAAACTACAGGACGACACATCCTCCGCGCCACCGCCGCCGCGGAACATCGTCCCCGTGGCGGTCCTGCTGGAGGACCCGGAGGACAAACACCTCCCACCCGCGGATGAAAACGACCCAGACGGCAAGAGACTCAAGTTCGACCTGATCACGTCGCACCTGGTCCTGCACCACATCCCGGACCTGAAGGCCGTGCTGACGACCATGCTCGGCTGCCTCAAGGACGGGGGCAGCCTGGCCCTCACAGATTTCGAGGACACGGGACCCGAGTCGAGGCGGTTCCACCCGCGCTCGCGGATGGGCGGCGTCGAACGACACGGCATCCACCGCGAGACCATGCAGGCCCTGTTGAACGAGGTCGGGTTCGTCAATGTCCGCGTGGAAACCGCCTGGACCATGGACAAGTACGTCGAGAAGTTTGAAGGCGAATTCGGCGACGCCCGCAGGGCCGAGGGCCAGGGCGAGATCCAGAGGTTTCCCTTTGTCTTGTGTATCGGTGAGCGGAAGTTCTGCCAGTGAGTGAGCAAGCTAGGTATCTATCTTGGGTTGGAAATCCCTACGAAGCTTTGACACCCCCCTATCCGTCAATAGACTCAATAGACTCCTAAGTTGTGAGGGCATTGGTAGATAGGGACGGGAACCATTCCGGACTCTTCTACATGTGCTTTACCACCCTTGGGCTTTGGTCGAGGTTCACACACTGGAAAGCCGACTACTGCCGGATCATGGAGCATGGCTGTCAAGAAGAGGCGAATAGAGCGGGAAACCGCTGATGTGTCGTGCTGTATCAACTACTGGGTGTGGAATCTTGAAAGTCAACAGGCTTAGAAACAATTGACCGATCATATTTAATAATGAATGGAACCGTGCATGTCCAACCTACAACAAGACCGGCTCATACTGATGGAAACAAGCTCCCAATTTCCTCCAGGTGCTTGCTTGTTTGTCTCGTCTTTCTCCCTCCCCAATGTCTCCATTTCAGCAGATGCTGCAGAGGCCTACCAATGCGGTTGAAAAGGCCACAACTCACATCTCGGCTGTCCTCTGCATTTCACTCATAGCCCAACGCCCATCACACTGCCCAGCAACCACGCCCGAGTGATTGTGTAACAATTGCCCATCGCTATTTTGTGATAGGCAGTAGAGAGCTACCAGCAGTCTGACCAAACCATAGACACCACCGCCATTCCAACCGCTTCGAGGGCCGTTTAGACCTCAAGCAGGGCTGCCTTCTCCTCGACAATGCCGTCCTCGACTTTCGCAGCCTGCAACTTCAACGCCTGTCTGCGGGCAAGTCTCTTTTCCATACGGAATTGCATAACCGTTCCCAAGAGGATACCAAAGTTGATCTGCACGGGCAGCACGATCAAAAGGTACTCAACATTCTTCACTCGTGCGAGGTCCAATTTGTCAAGTGTCTGCAACGCGCCATGACCCAAGCTCGTACTAATGGCAATCCCAAGAAGCATAAAGGCACGAACGAACCAGTTTTTGCGTGTATTTTGGGGGAATCGGGTGGAACCGCGGGTGCGAGAGTCGACATAGATGAAGGTATGCGTCAAGTAGTAGACATATGTGACGAGAGAGACGCCGATGGAGATAGGAAGAAGGATCATGTTGAGCTTCTTAAGCAGGCAGATGATTCTCGTCGCAATCGATGGTTTGGAGGGGTCGTCAGAACCAGGAAGGGTTTTTGGAACCCACCACTGTGAGTACAAGAGTCAATAACGAAGAGTCAAGTGAAGGGGGATGTAGCGACTCACATCGAAAAGCGGCATCCAGATGACCATGAAGATACAGACATACAACCAGCTGACGAAATATCCAACCGTGTAGGCAATCTGATCGAGACATTGTGTCAGCATCTATGACCATATCCCAGGAGTGACAGAGGCAAAACATACACCATAGTCGTCCTCTGCGGGGGCTGGATAGTCATGTTTGCCAGCATACACGATCTGTAGTGGCCCAACCCGGAGGGCTTCCATAAGAGCCATGAGCAGGACGACGCAGCGGATCTGCTTCCTCATCATGCGGAGATTGAATCTGCGGATCTTCTTCCAGTCCTCGACATCGGCCGTAGTGCTGGGAGAGGGGAGGGCATTGGAGACAACGGTGTTGTCAGCTGCCCGGGAGGAGCAGCGACGAGAAGACCATGGGCAGGGCATGGTGATGCTCAATTGACGACGGTGGGAGTCAAGCTGCATCGGCCAGGAAGAGACGTCGACCTGGAAAGAATGAGGCAAGTGTTTGCAAACAATGAAGGGGTGAGAAGAAGTCTGAACGAAAGAAGGGAAGAAGATGAAGAACAATCAACTTGGGCTGAGGTGCAGGAGTTGGGAGGCTGTGAAATGGCTGTTGCCTTTTGTTACGCAGATGACGGAGGTCCAAGTCCAACCAACTTGGGGGCTGCACCAGCGGGCGTCGGCTCCATATGAGCCCCGTCGGCCCTAAAATTCCTACGAGTAACAGTGCGTAATCGATAATGTATAGTGGCCGCTTATTGGACAGCCATTGGCCTAAGGAGCCCGGAGCGCCTCAGAGGTTTCGACTAGTCCAATTATAATTTAGTGGGCACGCCTGCCATCAGCCTCGTACCTCATGCGCTGTCTCCCACACGCATCTCGTGTCTCAGCCTTATTCACAAACAGTCGATATATGCCAGCACAAGCGCCAGAATACCCGTACAGCCACGCCGATCTCCCCCTGTTTCCTCCCCTAACCCAAAAAGACGGGTATCCCATACATGACAGGCGCAGCCCCATTGAGATACTTCAGTAAACACGCATCGCGGGCGTGTGCCACAGCCTCATCAAGAGATTTCTGGCCAGATTTCTGCCCACCACACTGGTGCCTTGCTGCATTTTCTTTACCAGCTTTCGGATTCCTGCCCTTGTTGAGGGTCGGCACGCCTGAGTTGGCATCGGCGTCGATCAATCCCCAATGCGCCATCAGCTCCATGGCGAAACGGTCAATGTCCCGATCGGTAACATCCCACAGCGTTCCCACCACTGCCGGGCTGCCTGCACTCAGATAACTCAAAGGCATCCCATGAGGCTCGTAAACTCCACATTCAGTCATTTTGGCACTGCTGCAACCCATCAGCAACGTCACCGCACACTTGTCCATCTTACGGATAGTGCGAGGTCTGATGTATTGCCCACCGCCTCCGTGACCAAAGTAGAGCATGAGCGAGCTATCTCTCAGAGCCGTCTCGAACTCATTTCCCGCAGGATGCCGATTCACAATGGCTCGGTAGTTAGACAGCTGATTCTCGAAAATCTGGCCAAAGGTTTCTTGAGTGGCCACTAGGTCAGAAGACGGATTGAGGATATATGCACCATCCGTTCTCGGAATCATATAACCTTTGAGGTCGTGCCGTTGATCTTCAATAGCTTTCAACTTTTCCCAGACGGACGCTATGGAGGGCATCCTGGAAACACCTTGATTCTTCAAGCACGACAACGACTCCCAGGGGAATGCCTGCAACTCTTTGTCCAGGACAAGAATCACATGGCCCCGCTTGTCTCGCGAGGCTGATTGATGATCGTGGTAAGAATGTAGTGCGTCCAGTACTTCCACCAACATGGCGTCAAAATCGATCTCGTCATATGCGTTGCGCTCCCCGTTGAATTGCAAGATATCAATAACAAAATACAATAGGTCGGTGACTGCATCCTCCAACTCCACTTCTCGAGGATGTCCGAGCGCCACAAAGAGCTCCAGCACATGGTCATGGAGTTCAACCACGTGTTCGCACGACTTTGACGATTTCTGCCTCGAGGGAAGGTGTCGATGCAATGTTGAAGTGAGGCATCGTCCGAATTTTCTGAGTTCACCTTCTTCGATATGGCCTGCGGAGAGTAGACCTCGAAATCCGCCGAACCAAATGTTCTCGATATTCTCAAGAAGAGTAGCAAGCTGACGATCCAAGGCTTGACGCTCAACATACCACTCTTTTCTGACAGACTTATCGACCGAAGAGCCCCTCGCATCGTGGGCACTAGCATTTGCCTTCATGATGATCTCTTGAATCTCTGCTTTGGCACTTTTCAGGTCAAGTTCCTCGCTGTCTCCTTCTGATGGATCTGGCCGTGCTAGGGGAATTCTGACAACAAACGGCGACCTCTGGTACGCTAACTGCGCGACAAAAAGCTCATTTCTGTCCTCATTGAGTCCGAGGGATATGACCGACCATGATGCTGGCAGGAGGCTTGTGTCATAATCCAGCAGTTTATCTGACATCAGACGTATATGGCTGTTGTCACTGTTGTGTGCACTGGGCCAACTTTCCGTGCTCATCTTCTTGGCTGCACTGAGCTCGCCTAAAGTCACAAAGCGTTCACGCGTCAGAGCGACATCAAGTGGAGTTGTCATATTCAACACGACATTCGAAGAAGAGCTGACCAATGGTTGGTTCAGAGCCGATGACAGCAGACTGATCTGGATAAGGAGTTTGTGGCATGTGTGAACAATGTCGCAAGGTACTCGATTTTGCTTCTTGTTGCTTACTTCCCGGAGGATATCGTAGGCCTGAAGCAACAGGGCCGTTCCGTCCTTGAATGTCTTTGCCGCCTGTTTTTGCCTTGACCTCTTCTTTTGGTCCTGGTCCTTTTCACCAAAAGTCCGAGAGGCTCCACCTTGTATCAATGAAACCCTGCCACTTTTTCTCGCTGATCGATACCTTACTGGAATGGCAACGGCTGTTTCGGCCAGCACGTTATGTATGGAATCTTCCGAGAAACTTCTGAGCGCAGAATGGACCAAGCTGAGAGCAATTGATGTGGTTTTACGGCTATCGTCGTCTTTGTCACACAGCAAGCTGGTGTCGAAGCGATCCGCCGCGTTTGCGCATCCAAGGAATATCTGAAGTCTAGATTCCAGAAATGAGATTCTCGCATTGAAGCCGCTCAGATCCAAAGTGGATTTGGAAGCTGACGGGCACTCTTTGGGTGGACGTTTGACTTGAGCACTTCCTTTCTGTCCTTTGACGCCGCGCTTCCTCCCGGTTGGCTTTGCAGAAGCGCAGACGGATCTGTCCTTTAGAGGCCCGCTCACACCCAGCTCCATGGACGCGGATTCCGTGTCAACTGGGAGCTGCTTAGCCTCGATCAAGCACCGAGAGGCCGCTGAACCGTCCCCAAGGATTAGACACGTTTCAACTTGGTTAAGGGCCACATGACCCCGTATCCAGCTCGCATGATAATCCCTGGCGATCTGTGGCAGCTCCTGAAGTCTATTTTGTGCTTTCTCGACCTGGCCAGCTCGTGCATGAAGAAGACCCAGCTCACTCAGTGCAATAATGGTATGAATAGAATGCCCCCATTTTCGGGCAATCTTCAGCGTCTGCTCATAAAACATAACGGCATCTTGATAAACCCCGCAATGAGCATTTAAAAATGCCATGTAGCTGAACACTGAGCAGCACAATGAGACGTCGGACCCAAGAACGACTGCGCTCGACGTCAATCGTACCGAAGGTGGGGAGGATAAGTCGAGCCTAGAGAGTTCGAAGGAGACGCAGTGTAATTCATGATCTAATGATCCATTCGAATGCGCGGGAGGTGCGGAAGCACAGACCCTTTCGATTGAAGACCAGATAGTAGCTGAGATTTTAGCCGATTGTCGTGCGAGAACGATGGCGTCCACAAGCTGACTTGACTCAAAAGCCAGCCTTGATGCCAAATGAGCAGCTCTGCACCACATAATCTGTTCTCGCAACCTGGCCTTGGTCGACTTGGAGTTTCCTGGCCTTTCCCGAGCCTGCCATGCATTTCGAGCAATCACCAGCCACTTGTTGCTTGCATCAAGATCTTCCGCATACAGATGATGTTCCGAGTAGGTGAGTGCCAGTTCGGTTTCGAACAATGGGTCGCTCTCTTCCTGAGTGGCATTCTCGATCGTGGCGAAAGCCTTCTGGGCAGACTGAGGATCCTTGAGCAAGTCGTGGAATTGACCTTTGCGGAGGAGGATCCTCTTGTATGATATCTCTTGAATGGGAACTCCAAGTTCCACCAAATGTTGCAAAGCTTCCAGGGCCATCAGGCTAACATCATAATTTCCGAGAATTGCCGCGTATTCCACAGAGAGCAGAAGCGGTGCGATATATGCTCCTACATCAAGACATTTCACATGTGTCTCTTGGTGAGTCTTGCAGGTCCGAACGATCTCGCACAGTTGTTTTACCCCTTGCGACACCGTTTGGTTGGAAAGCACTCCGGTCAAAAACCCGTATTGGAGGGAGAGGAGCGAACGAAGTTCTGGCTCATATCTCGACAGGAAGACATTTTCAGCCGCAAGGTCAGCATCGAGTATTCTGCGAATGACAGAGGAGTTGATGACAGTGGCCGAAACTGGCACTTTCTTCTTCAAAGCGAGCTGCAATAGCTGATTGATAACCCTCATGCTATACACCTGATATACCGGTTGTGGCAACAGTGACAGCAGGGTGTTCGCCATTGTCGCACATAGATCGACTCCGTGATCATTCATGCCTAGGTCGACCATTGCAAGTAACTGTTTCTCAAGCAGCACCGCACGGTGTAATGAAGGTAATGACGGGTCGTCATAAAAGCCCTGACTCTCGCTCTCGCTCTCGCTCTCGCTTATCGGCGTATAGTCAAGGATTGCTTTAGAATAGGTGGTTAGAACTCTTCCCAAGGCTTTGCATCCCAAATCTGAATGTGACCACGCCCGGTGAAATGACACGGACAGAAGCAGATCCGCAACATCACCGAGGACGCCGTCCTTAATGCTGATTTCGATGGCAGTACGAAGGGCGGTTTCGGCCGTTCGAAAGTCACGCTCTTCCAAGTAGCAAGCTGCCAGCCTTTCATATTTGAGTGCGACATGCGCGACCTTTTGATCGGCCAGGGGCAAGTCCAACAGACCGAGGAGTGACATGCCCAGAATCCTCGACTGTTCCAACGGGGTTTTGCTCTCTTTGACGGCTTCCAAGTACCGTGCCCAAAATAACTGAGATATCCGTACTCTAAGCTGATTTAGCGACGTCTCCAGTCTACACTGCGTCATCAAGGCAGCGCACTCGACTTGAAGAGTCTGGACTGCCGCTGAGCAGTCTTCGAGAGCCTCTGAAGCCGCCGCCACCAGATCTGCGTCTTGCGTAATAGCAAATTGTTCGGCGGACAAGACGGCATCGATAGTCTTCAGTAAGGTAGTTAGAAAGGCTTTGCGCTTCTCGACGCTCGAATTTTCTGAAGACAATATCAGAATTGAACGGATGTGGCGGCGTAAGAAGTTGAAGGAACAATAGGTAAAGCGGATCAGAGCTGTCTGAAAGTCTGTCAATGGCCCATTTGCTTCCATATGAGGTCGTGTCTTGTCAAACGAAATGAGTTCGGCGGCGGCTTTGCGGAGCTGGGCCAGCAGCAGTAGGAATTTGTCAAGGTCAGCTGGAGGTAGCTCTCTTGGTTCCGTAAGAGCACTCCCCATGGTCTTTAATGACTCCAGTGTCTTTGTTGACCCACTTGAAGCTCGTAGGCGTGATAATGTGATTTGACACCGCAATATCAGATGCGAAGCGCCGCTTGTTTGCCGAAGGCGCTCTTCCACCAAAGCAATGAGCTGAGGATATTCGTCTGGATCTCGAATGATTTGTAACAGAGTGCCAATCAAGTCTGGGGGTGTGTTAAACTCGCATTCGAATGGCCTTGTGAGCTTCTGAATCGAACAAAGTGCCTGAAACGTGTAAGCTGTCGACGCTTTTAGGTCCTTGGTGGTTGCAAATAGCTGCTTGATCGCTCTGTGAAGCGGGTGCCATACTTCTGTCGGCGGGTTGGGTAAGTGACCAGAGTGAACCCACGATTCGAACTTGATACGTAACGACAAGCAAAACAGTTTGAAAAGATCCAGGGGTGACGAATTCTCTCCTTTTGAGCTCGTAGCAAGAGCATACAGCTTAGACAATGCAAGAGATATGGTGCGAAGCTGTAAGCCAGACTGTTCTGATGTCAGGAGTTGGTTTTCCAGTGCTCTTGACGTAACCCAGGCTGGACTCCCAATAGCGTCCGGCTGAAGTGACTTAAGAAGCTCGGAGTCGATGCATTTGGGCCCAACCAGTAGAGCAAGGCGCAGAGCCTGACTCTGCAACGATGCTGTGAATCGGAACCTTCGATCTTCATCTGCAGCATCTGGTCGCCCTAGCAGAAGCTTCGCGATATTTGATTGAGATGAAGATTTCTTTCTGACCTCATCTCCCCAGTATCTTTCGTGGATATCGCAGAGCTGGCGTTGTGCTTGCTCGATGAGATTCAACGAGATGCTTCTGTCTAGCAGGATCAGTGCGGCGTTCTCGAGCCCCGCGTTGTTGCCTGCGGTGGACACTACATCTTTGTGATTAGATCGTCTCAAAAACAGCAATGCGGAGTAGGAAAGATCTGCCAGTAAGCCCGAGTCCGTTGGGGCGTTGCAGATGGTGCTCTTCTTGGAGTCGAGGGCGGGCTTTTTGCGTTCCTTATTCGGTGACCGTTCTTGAAGTGGTCCATCATTGGGGTTGACAGACGATTCAGTTTTGCTTGCTGGAGCTTCTCTAAGAGCTTTGGCGGTCTCTCCAAGACACTTCAATGTGGAATTGAATGTGTCAGTCGCAATCTTTCGTCGCTCAGTCTCCGACAGACGCGGTATCTTCTCGTCATTGGTCTCATGAATCTGGATTACTGCGCCTGGCTTTTGTCTGTTTCTAGTTGCGTGTCTGATGGGTGGCCGACTTATGCTGGAGCCTTTTACTTGTCTAGCCTTTTTGGTTGAAGCACAAGTGGCTTTAGATTCGCATTCGTCGAAGGAAGCAAGACCGAGAACAGCTCGCAAAAACCTCAAGGTTCGTGGTGTGGGCGCGGATAGGTTGAGGTGCGTGCGAACCCAGTCAGATGGTGCAGAAGCGACAGGATCCTGAAGAGGTGTCATTGTATAGGGATGGCGACTAAGAGCATAACGCACCGTTTTACCGGTCTGATTATTGCTTGGTTTTGGATTATGATTAATGTCTGGTGTTGGTGGTTGAAAGCGCGTGGTGGCCCATTTTGGCCATAAAATAAACAAGGAACTGTCGCCGCCGCTTAGACCCGGCGTTAACACTGGCGAGGCCTCCGCGCTAACTAACATGGCGGTAAAAGCGTTGTGAAAACTGCTCGCCGCCTTTGGGACTCACCCAAGCCCCGCCGCTTTTATAACCGCACATCTTGCTCAATAATGACCTGCCATCATTGGTCGAAAACTCGCGAGTCGGCCACTGGAGCACGTGATGAATTTCCTCCAACCTCCGTTCGAGGAAATCCACACATCCATTCACTTCCTAGTCACCTGATGCTACACACCAACCCCATGTAAGTATAAGTGTATTTTTCCACGTCAAGTGGAGGTTATAAAGCAGTTCTGGGGGGGACAGCTTGGTGAATGGAGCTTGAGTTCAAGAACGGAAAAAAGGTGATGTATCGCGTGAATAGGAGGAAAGCTGGCGTTTCTACTGCGGCCATCGGTCAAGCTACAGCATCACCCAAACTGGCTCCTCTCACTGAGCTCCCCGTTCTTTGGTTTTCCCTTCACCAGGTTGACACGAGTGCAGTCAGTGGATACCCTGCGCATTTTGCCACTACACTCAGACCCGGAACGCGCCGCCTCATGGGTAGGAGTGTGCAAAGACGAACCACTCATCGCTCTCTTTCGACAGTATCGGGCTGTGTCGAAGTGAGGTGGACCTCGGTAAGTCCCGTGCTATCGTCTTTGACAAGGGTTGCTATAAGATCCCGTTGAATGAGAGCGGAGACCATCATCCCGGTAGGTTATAATGAAATAGTATCATACTAGCGACGATGTCAACGCGGGTCACGGGATCTGCCTACCGCCTACAACCATCCGAGGGCCAGGACGGAGCCAGACTGGCGCTACTATGGGGTCGGCCAGACGCGAATGCACTGTAGCCCATCTCAGCCTCCCTGTGCTGTGCAGCATTGGTTGGCTTGCTTCGTCGTAACTAATTCCCTGAAACGCCACAACAAGGCCAGGTTTTCACCATCTTCGCCGGAAGATATGATGCCCGTGGAGTTAGCGCGTCTGGTCAAGGGGCATCAACGGCTATAAATATGGCCATCCCGTTCGAGCAGTTCGTTGGGGCGAAACGCGTAACGACCCTGATCATTTGTTCGATCCAGGGGATGCGCAGCACAAATTCCCGCTCCTCGAATCTTGACACGGTCAACCCACTCGATTCCTCTTGCTTCGTCAAGAGGAGGAGGGCGGGTAGGCCGATCCAATCCCAGTTCCCCTGTCGTCTCTACGCAGGAGTCGGCGTGGAAGGAGATCTCTGTATGGAGATCCATAAGTACATGGCCTCTTTCACCATTGTGATCGCAGCTTGGCCAAACCAAGTCAGTGGACCCAGCATGCTGGCGAAGCGATATCCCAGTATGTGACCGATTCGTGCAACACTGTTTAAGGTCAATACTCGCTCATGACCATTGACGAAAGGACGTACTGTACGTTCTTTCCTGTCATGGCATATGCAAGACTCGGTATGAATCCAGCCAGCCCCGGATTCATTTTCACCGTTGCGACAATGGACATAAGGAGTGCTGCAAAGTTGGTCTTTCAAGAATTTGAGGCTGTCTTGAGAGTGCGGACAAAAGCACATGGTATGAGGGAATTGATCGGTCCCCTGGATAGAGTAAGCATGTCAGAAGTGTTCCAGTCATGTGGATACCGAATCTCATTTCTTCTTTGGTTTCTTGAATATCGCCTTTTTTGATGTGTGGGTAACAGAAGTTTCTGGTGTCGATTCCTGAGGGTCGAGGAGCCTCAGCTCGTCGTCACCTGCAGCTCCTGAGTCCGAGAGGTGATGGCTTTGGAGGCCCTGTGAAAGTCCAGATGATGAGGTAAATTGCAGATCGGATTCTTCCGAGACCTCAAAATGTATATCGGGTGGTATTGCGTCGATTGCAGAGCAAAGCCTTTTAAAGTGAGCAGGCATCCAGGTGTTATAGACGCTCTTGGTAAATTTATATGCCGTCCATTTCTCTTTGCCATCCTGTTCTGTAAAGTCGAACTTACGGATAGTGTGGCGGTAAAACATGGTCTTTTTGCCTTCGATCACAGGGTAGTGGCTATAGATCCTCACAGTCTCGTTGTCATGCGAAATGGAAAAGGCGAGGATCTCCCGATGAAGCTCTTGCTCGCGCTTGACGAGCCGGAACAGTTCCACGACTCCCCGAACAGCGAGCGTCATGCTGTGCGCGTTCTGTCGATCTGCCACGTCGAGTGCGGCCGCACCGCACTTCACTTCGCTCGAGAAGAAGGGGAAGTACATGTACCATGTGCCCATGAAGAAGGAGTTGTCGGTCAGGTCGCCAACGAATGGCTGAAGTTTCTTAAGCTGGTCGTCCGTAAATGCAGAGCGTTTGAAACCCACAGAGTAGTCTGGTTGAGGTCGTGTCTTAGTAATAGGAATTGAATTGTTCCAACCCTCATTGATGCTCTCAGTCAGTTTGTCGAGATGTTGGGCACCAAACGTAGCCAGCGTTTCCGCAGATGGGACGATTAGTCGGGCTATATCCTGGATCACCCTTGCCTCATTTCTGTCTTGGAACTTTCTGTAGGCTTTCTCAAACACGTCATCGGAGAATATAGAATCCTTGGGGGTCGTTTGCTCCTTCGTCAACATGTCGCGACAGAGAGCTTTGCTCTCCTTTGTAATATCTAGCTCGGACTTGTCCATATAGCTTCCCATAGCCTCGAGTAGGATCCTGTAACGTGGGTCTCGATAAGGAGCACTCTTCTCCTCCCTTGACTTTTGGTCACTCGGTGTAGTTGAGCTGGGTGCGCTAGACTCGCTATCCGATCGCTTTCGGCGAAGAGAGGCGGTGGATTTCTTTCTCGCGAATAAATGACTCATTTCGCCACTTTCGTGGAAGTATCCTTGGGGCCAGTGGGATGTCTGCGTCCAATACGTAATAGAATCAACGTCCTGAAGAGAGGGTCTAGGGCAAGATGTTCGCGGTCGTTTTGGAGAGGGCGGTTTTAGCTGCTGTTCGGCCTCTCGTTTCCGCTTCGGAGGATTTGATGGTAGAAAGGTAGGTGGTGGGTGTGCACACTGTATTAGGTCAATCTTCATCACTACCATAACATTGGCGACTTACATCAGGGACTTTAATGTCGCTGACTGGAGATGGAAGAGGCTGCCGGCTGGCTTTTAGTCGAGTCTCATGGACCTCAATCAAGCGGTCCAGACGGGCGCTTCGTCGAAGAGGGTGTTGCTGTTGTCCCTTCTTGATGCCTTGAGGGCGATCTACTTTGCTGGTGAGTTGAGGACTGATGGAAGCGGCGGATAAATGACCTTGATGTGGCAGCCCCACGGATTGCCTTCTGATCTTCTGAGCGGTTACACTGTCTCGTGGTGCCATGATTGCTCGAAATGAGGGTGAAAGGCATGGGCAGCTTCAAGTAGTTGTCGCCAGTGAATTACCGTCACAATTGGGAACTTTTAGCGCCTAGACCTAGGTAGCATGTGACATCACACGAAAGGCGGACGGTTAGGCCACAGGGGCTTCTTGGCAACCCGCATGATGCATGCTTATGTTGCGGAGCCAAAGTGCGATGGACTGGCCATTCGCGGTAGAGAAACGATAGTGACTGCGTGATTCGTACGAGGTACTCGGGCGTTTGACAGCGCACCGGAAAGACACGGCGAATAGGGTTCTGCTTCCATCTTTGGGGGGCCTCACCTGGCTCACCCTGGCTCGCGAGCGACCGGGGTGAGCACAGGGCGGCATCACCCTCGTCCCAAAGAGGGGTGCGCTGGGCGTGATTTTACCTCCTCTTGGCGGCGCTAAACTTGAGTGTGAGTGTCTGTAGCTAATACTTGGTGTAAGGAATCGGATTCGCATTGCGGACAATACATTGCGGAACACACCGCCCATTCCTTGAATATAAATGAGCTGCACAAAGTCCCTCCTGTCCTGCAGCGTAGCTCAGTCTCGTCTGCTCAGAACAAACCTATCGAACCCAAGTTGGTCCCGGTTGCGCTGGCTGTGTCGATCCCGCCATACCACCTCCCAAGAGCGCCGTCTTCCTCGCATAGCTCAATCTTCCATATGGGACTCGATCATTCCTAGAGCTTTTCGAGACAGATCGCTATCCCATGAGCAGTCCGTGCACAAGAAACCCTCGAACCCGGCGACATATTTCATATGGATCTATATCCTGATCGGCTCTCAAGCCATTCGAATCATTGGTGTCAAGAACGAATTCACGGCCTTTTCTCGCAGAGCGGATGTCAAGATAGAAAAGCTTAGAGAGGTCGTCAAAAGGCTACAGAATGGTGAAGAAGTGGACGTGGAGAAGATCCTGGGCACAGGAGATGATAAACAAGAGCGCGAATGGGAAGAAGTGTTGGAAGAATTGCAGAGAGAGGACAGAGTATGGCAAAGCAACAAGGAGAAAAGTCGCGAAGTGAAAGAACGCCTGGCTAAGGAAGAACAAGACGCCAATCCTGTCAACGACGTTCAAGAAAGGGCTCTAGCGGCTGATCCGTTACCTCCATCGTCTAATAATGCTTTTCCACGAAGTCCCGGATTCTACTGAGCTTTTCAGCACTATATGTATAGCTGGTCATTGGCAAGAAAGATTGACAAAGTGCCAGCGGGAAGGATGCATAACACTGAGCTCCCTTGAAGGAACGATGGGGAAGAAACACGATTGAGGTTCGCATATGGCAGAAGCTCAGCTTGCTGTACACTCTGCTGTGTGCCTTTCAAGGGAGCAACGAGGCTTGAAGTTCCACTCATACGCTCTTCAAGATAGAGCCGAGCCGGGGGAAATACCTGCGAACACTATTCCACACCTCAATGGTCACCTATCACCTTCTGAAGCCTAGGAGTCTATCCTCCTGCGGTCTCCCGCCAGCTTAGCACTGCAGGCTTTCAATCAACGGAGTTTGCGCAGTCGAGTGTGGAACTTACTCGTCAAAGGTACTAACTGAGACATGTGCCGCCACTTTTTGGAGGGGTCTGGACTGCTGGATCAATGCCGATATCTGTCGCCGTATAGCTCGAGCCCAGGAACTTCTCCATCACGTTCTCTGAGCTGATTTTCTCGGCATCGTTCCCCTCGGTGTGCTGCAGAAGTCTGCTGACCCAAGCGCGGACTTTTGAAAAGTCCTTGGCTGAGTTGCCCGGCTCAGCCTGTTCGTCCAGAGTCTGTAACCATCCAGCTTACATGAACATCGGCAATGGAACATTCATCTCCTTGAATCCACAGGCGGCGCCACCAGAAAATCATTCTCGGCATCATCTAACATTTGGAAGAACTCTGCTTGTGGACTGGGCAGTTGTTTCTTGCACACATTGACCAAGATTCCGGACATTCTACTCCTGCGGTACGAATTAAGGATTAGGGGATGTTCTGGAATGCCGTTCATCTCGGTCAGCTGGAGCAAGAAGAGAAATTATCCTTACTTTCATCGAACGAACTAGGATTCTGGTTACACAAGTGCCAAGGTCAATGATCGCCACCAGTCTGCCTCTCGCTGCAGCCTGCTTAATATTTCTACACTCCACATGACGGCCAGTGCATCTTCTTTGCGGGGAGAGATCAGAGAGAAGATCTGGACGGCAGAACAGACCACCCGCAGCCCTCGGATGTGCTGATGCTAATGTGGGTTTTCTAGAGATGTTACAATCTCCGCTTAGCTTGAGCGCAATTCTTGGGAGATGAGTCTGCCAGATCCATGTAGGTCGGTAAGATGCTACAAACTTGTGTTCGGTCTCCAGGCCTCGCAAGTGAGCCAAGTACACTTCTAGTAGCAAATCCGTGCAAACTATATTCCTGTAAACTTCTCCAACATTTAACAGCAAATTCACACTATATTGGCGGGCGTCTGGCAGGTATCTCTATCAATTTCTCACCCGCGCTTGTTATTAAAATACCAGGTATCTAAGGGATAGTAGTGAAACTCAATCTCGCAACTCTGCTGTCACGACAATATCTAGGTATATTCCTTTTCTTGTAGAGGCTGCGCTCTGGGACTGGAGTGAGAATGCCACTGATCCGCCTCTTCGGTCCGTCTTCGACAGGTCATCCTGAGGAAGAATGTTGTCGAGGAGGTAGTCGGACGTCTCATCAGGAAGCGTTGCTTGGCTCTCGCCCACGCACAGGTGAGAGAGGATACTGAAATGCAGGTCAAGCCGCACTTAGGATTGCATGATGCACGTCACAGCAAGGAGACAAAGGCTCTGCAGTTCCCTCGGTAGCTCGCTAGATGGCCAATCATGACAGTAGCAGAGTGAGATGCAAGAGACCACCTGCGCTTTGCAATTAAAGCGGCACAGTGGAGAGCGATCTCGACCCGCCAAGGCTGCGAAAGTGCCTCCAACTTGCCTCCGCTTTTATATTTTTCATACTTAGAACGGCCACATCTGCACCAGCAATAGCAATTGACCTAAGGATTCATCCACCACACATCGCACAATCGCCCATCACATACCCCAGCCTTTCATAATTTCCCTTTTCACCATCCTCTTTTTGTTGCGCGTCTCCTGTGCTTCAAATCCCTTGTTGCTTTCTCCCCTAGGAGGACTCATTTGTCTGTTTGCCTGCGTGCTAGAACATCGACTAAGAGTCTGCAACATCTATCACGTTTGATTGACCGCGCCGCTGGTTCAATCTTCTTATTTCACACCCGCAACCAAACTCATTAGTTTCCTATCCAGTTCCTTCAACTAGCAACGCGACTCGCCTTCAGTTCAGAACGACGACGCTGCACCGCGTTAGGCTCCTCTTACGCTGATATCTCACGATGGCGACCGAGACCACTCCTGTTAATGGCTTGTACGGGGCAAACCAGTACGGCCAGCCTGCTGAACTTGCTGCCTCTACTCCCTCTGCGCCAACTCATGCTACCTCCGCTTCTCAAAGTACTACTACCTCCACCACCCAGCAGAAGGCAGACCCCCAAGAGATTGGCTGGTATTTTGTCGAGCAGTATTATACAACTCTGTCCAAGAGCCCGGAAAAAATTCATCTGTTCTACTCCAAGAAGTCACAGCTGGTCACGGGCGTCGAGGCTGAGAAAGTTGTTCCAGCTGTTGGGACAAAGGTACGTTGTCATGCATCCAATTTGAGGGGTTTGAACTGGCTGACTGAGAGGAAACAAAGGCAATCAGCGAGAAGATCAAAGCCCTCGACCTCCAAGACTGCAAAGTGCGCGTTCTCAATGTCGACTCGCAGGCCTCGTTCAACAATATTGTAGTCCAGGTTATCGGCGAGATGTCCAATAAATCAGAGCCGCATCACAAGTTTGTGCAGACTTTTGTCCTCGCCGAACAACCCAATGGTTATTTTGTCCTCAACGACATCTTTCGCTACCTGAGTGACGACGAGGATGAGATCGTTGAAGACGAACAACCTCAGCCGGAAGTCCCTGCGGAAGAACCCCCAACCCCTGCTGCAGGTGTGAACGATACCCCATCTCACGTTGACGACGTCGTTGCTACTGAGGACGCAGTCGAGAAGGTCGACGAGAAACTGGAGGAGAAAAAGGCAGAAGAAGCACAAGCAGCAGAGGAACCAGCTGAGGTCAATGGCGATACCCTTCCCGCTCCTGCTGAACAAACTGAGCAAGCTCCTGAGCTCTCAGGTCCCAAGGACGAGGCTGTGGCCAATGAAACTGCCGAACCTGCCGCAACCGAGCAACCTGCTGAACCCGAAGTGGTTGCTGCTGAGCCCGCCCCAGAGGCAGCTGCACCAGCTTCAACTCCTGCTGAAGCTCCTCCTGCGAAGAAGACTTGGGCCAGCATGCTGGGAGGTGGCGTCCAAAAGCCAGCTGTCCCAGCCCTTCCTTTAACTCCGCCGCCGCAGCCAAAGGCTGCCCGGCCGTCGCAACCTGCACAGGCCCCCAAAGCTCCCGTTGAACCTGCTCCAACCGCCACAAATACCACTTCCAGCACCCCGACCTCACAGAGCAATGGCTGGCAGACTGCAGATCACAGCAAGAAGAGCAACCGACCACCGAACCGAGCTGTCTCAGAAGGAATTACAATGGCGTACATTAAGAACGTTAACGACAAAGTCGACGCCAGAATCCTTCGAGAGGTTCTCGAGAGGTACGGTGAGCTCAAATATTTCGATGTGTCACGACCTAGGGTATGTCTCCAGTCTCATTGATTGCTTTTCAGGCTTACTGATGAAATCTAGAACTGTGCTTTTGTCGAGTTTGTTGATGCTGCCGGATACGCTGCTGCCGTTGCTGCCAATCCTCACACTGTCGGTACTGAGCAGATTCATGTTGAAGAGCGTCGACCCCGCCCAAACGCATATGGCGGCAGCAATACTAATTTTAACCGCACCGGTGGAACCACCAACCGTGGCCGGGGTGGCATGCAGGGTGGCCGTTCCGGAAGTCAGACCAACTTTCCAAAGGACGCAGGACGTGGTAGTGGTTACCAACGGGGTGGAAAGCCTGCCACTGGCACCGTCACTCCGAAGGGGCGGGGCCAAGGACAGACTGCTTGAAGCACCCTCAAGTGCGGGATGCTGAAACATTGCATCAGTCACTGAAAGAATCTTTCGTCACTTGCTTCTTGCATTCCCATGGTTCAAGCGGAGCGACCAAAAAGTGATGGGGTTTGTTTTCAACGATTTTCCTGGCACTGGCGTACTTGGAAAAAGTACTTTCCATTACATTACACATATTTTCACGATCCAGCAGTGTTATTCGCATAGCCAGCTTCAGAAGTGTCCAGGACGAAACAGAGAGTGGGACTCCAGTCACCTCCAGCGAGCAAGGCAGCAATGACTTCGGATTGGCTTCACTAGGGTCATGGTCCAAGGCAAGGGTGTCTTTTTCGAGCGAGGTCATGTATTTGTCTGTGTACGAAGGGGAAACATGTTATCCAAGGCCTTGGGGTTCCCTAAAGATGGGATGGGCGCCGGTGTGGGCAAGGAACTGTACAGTAGTCCCTCATTGTGAATGAGACATATCCTACCTAATGGTGATTGCGGGTTGGTTCCCAAAAACTCCCAAACTGTCGTGATAAGTCGGGAATTGGGTCAATGCTGTTATAGATGTCTTGGACACGCGAAGTGGGTGAAAGGAGCGATAAGAAATCCCGCCCCGCGCGGCGTGTTCAGTACGAGTTCCGCCAGTGTTGCCTGCGATTGCCGTGGGGTAAATCTAGGATAGGCTGAGGAGTAACTTCAGGCCGCGACATCGGTGACCTGTTTAACTGACTTGTACCTTGCGTGCTTGCTTCGCTGTCAGCTGTCGGTCCTATTCTTTGATCTGGAAACCCTCAACTTCCTTGCCATCCTCCTCGTCGACTGCATCGCCGCCCGCTCTCTCGACTCCCCTTGATGACTGCACCATGAGGCCAGGGATAAGTCTTGATAACAGTACAGCAGAGTCACCACGCCCTCGCAAGTCATCCAATGCCGATTCACACCCACCATCAATAGTGGGTGATCGCGAACGCCACAGCAGTTCTGCTACTACTTTCTTCCTCTCACGAGATCCCGATGCCTCCGTCAAGACGCACCAGTCCGATCGAAGTGCCGGACCGCCTTTATCTACATCACCCTTGAGTAGC